ACTAATCATTAGAGAAATGTAAATCAAAACTACAATGAGGTATCACCTCACACCAGTCAGAATGGCTATCATCAAAAAAATCTACAAACAATAAATGCTGGAGAGGGTGTGGAGAAAAGGGAACCCTCTTGCACTGTTGATGGGAATGTAAATTGATATAGCCAGTATGGAGAACAGTATGGAGGTTCCTTCAAAAACTAAAAATAGAACTACCATATGACCCAGCAATCCCACTAATAGGCATATACCCTGAGAAAACCATAATTCAAAAAGAGTCAGGTACCACAATGTTCATTGCAGCTCTATTTACAATAACCAGGACATGGAAGCAACCTAAGTGTCCATGGACAGATGAATGGATAAAGAAGATGCGGGTATATATACACAATGGATATTACTCAGCCATAAAAGAAACGAAATTGAGTTATTTGTAGTGAGGTGGATGGACATAGAGATTGTCATACAGAGTGAAGTAAGTCAGAAAGAGAAAAATAAATACCGTATGCCAACACATATAATATGGAATCTAAGAAAGAAAAAAAAAAGGTTCTGAAGAATCCAAGGGCAGTACAGGAATAAAGACACAGATGTAGAGAATGGACTTGAGGACACGGGGAGGGGGAAGGGTAAGCTGCGACGAAGTGAGAGAGTGGCACGGACTTATATATACTATCAAATGGAAAATGGATAGCTAGTGGGAAGCAGCTGCATAGCACAGGAAGATCAGCTTGGTGCTTTGTGACCACCTAGAGGGGTGGGATGGGGCGGTGGGATAGGGAGGGTGGGAGGGAGACGCAAGAGGGAGGAGATATGGGGATATATGTATATGTACAGCTGATTCACTTTGTTATAAAGCAGAAACTAACACACCATTGTAAAGCGATTATACTCCAATAAAGATGTTTAAAAAAAAAGAAGAAGAACAAAGCAGGTAAAGATGTAACTTAGAAAATTATAGCTAAGCTATTGAGGTGTTGTTTCCACAAAGACATCCAAACACTATCTAGGAAAAAATAATGGTTAACAAGAGGTTAAGTAAAAATGTCTAATGCTACTGTACATTAAGAAATACTGTTGTTGGAGACAAGAAGAAAAATTCATCCATTCACAGTAGATTATGAGGGCACAAATACTGTACTCACAACAGTAGATCAAATCAATAATCCTCACATTTAATGAATCTCAACCTAAAATTAAAGACTGTCAGGAGAATTAATTACTCCTTAAGGAAAAAAATAATCAGTAACAGCCATATTGCGGAGGGTGAAGCATGAAATTAAGGCATGAAAAGAAGAAATGCTGACTATCAGATGTATAGGTTATTTCAGTAATTTGAAAGTTTCTAAAACTATACAGCTTTTTTTTTTTTTTAATTTATTTTTTGGCTGTGTTGGATCTTTGTTGCTGCACGCAGGCTTGCTCCGTGGCATGTGGGATCTTCCCAGACCAGGGATCAAACCCATGTCCCCTGCGTTGGCAGGCAGATTCTTAACCACTGCGCCACCAGGGAAACCCCAACTATACAGCTTTGCTGTCCCCAGTCCTGTACCCCCAAATCAAAATAAATAAACACAAAACAAAGCCAAGTCCCAAAACATGTCACATTTATAAGAAGCATTATCTACCCAATAATCCTGAGTATTTGGACCAAATATCTCTTCATAGGTTACTTCTTGGTATATTTCATGAGTGTATACTATTAATAAGACAACCAATGAACTCTGTAAACTCTACTTCTCCCTCCCAAAAATAGGGTAGTTTTCTTTCTTAGCTATATTATCTTCTATATATATGTTTAATAAGTGGTCAATGAACATCAATCCTACTGCAAAATACTACTGTCAATGACAGCCAGAAAAACCATGTGGGGAAAAAGCACTATATTTTACATTATATTTGGTTCCTCATTCCAAGTGTTCTTATCAACAGAAATCACTCCAATATAGTTGGCTAATTTGGGAAATATGTAACAATTAAGAAATTTTTTATCAGTCATGACAGTTTTAAATTATCTTTGAATCAAACATCAAAAGTTTAACAAAAGGAATTAAAGAAACCAAAAGTTGTAACATTAATGTATATGTGGAATAACACTGTTCTCCATCTCTATCTTCTATATAACATCTAAAAAAAAGCCCAATTATTCCTAAAAATAAATTTTAAAAAAATGAAAAATGGTCCCTAAAAACTCAGTAATTATTGCCTTCCTTCTGGTTTTTAGGGATGAAAATTACTATTTCAAAGAAGGAAACCATTACCAAAATCAAGGTGAAAAGTGTGCAAGATTAAAAAATCTAACTTTTTCCCAAGGAAACAAAAAACGTTAATTTGGAACCTAAACTGCTCAGAAGCTAAATCAAAACATTCTTTCTATAAAATATTTCAAAATGAACTAACAAACCACTCTGGATAATCTAACTCAAGTATCTCCTTTAGAGGGAAGAACCTTACAGAATACAACTGTCTTCAGTATAATATCCTGATTAAAAGTAGCAGTAGTACATATAATTCATAAGTATTTACACTTTGCTCTGGAATACAGTTTTATACTTGGCTGTTTGTGTGTACTTAATAGAGTCTGGTATTCTGGAAATTTAGAATATTTCAAAGACGTTACCTTAATTTTTTAAAAGCCCCAAGGCTGCCTACATACCAATCTTGTCTTCTGTTCAATTCCTCTTTCTCACCACTTAACACAGGAAATTTCCAGCATCACCTTTCAAAATGCAGTCATGCTAAAGCATAACTGCCTTTTCTAATGGTCTGATTGGCTAATGCTTTCTCTCAAAACACAGTAAAAGTAGTTAAATATTTAAGGGACTAATTTAGATCTTTCCGGATATATCAATTAGGCAGAAAAAAAGGAGGGGGGGAAGTGAGTATATAGGACTGCTATTCCATGAAATCATTTCCCCCTGATTCTGATATGATACAGGTAGCATCTTGAATGAAGTAAGAGAGATATAACAACAGAAAAGAAGGCCTCCATGAGTTTCTTGCCTTTTCCCCCCTTTATTAACGTAGATAAAATGAACTACAATCAGATTTCTAGCTAAAGAGGGAAAACAAGAGCCTGATAGGATGTACATATAAACTTACTAAAATCAGTAAGTTTAGATGCACCATATCCAGTCCTATAATAATTTAGAAATAAAAGAATAAAGAATAGGGGGAGAAGAGAGAAAAAGGAAAAAGAGGAGAATCCTATGATTTCTTATGCTTTAGATTTTTTATTTTTAGCATAAACGCACACTTTAAATGATTCTATAAGGGAAGGTGTAAGGAATAGTATATGCATAAGAAACGAGACCTCTGGGTTCTCACTCCTCCACAGTTGGGTATATTCCTGGTCGAGTCATTTAACTTTGTGTTTCAGGACCTGATAAAACAGGGGTGATACAAATACCACCTGTTTGAAGGCACAAAGCTAAGCAAGATGACCTCAAGTTCCCTTCTAACTTTCAAGATTTAGGATGTAAACACCAACTTGCTATGATTTTTTAAAAGTCAAGATGTGATCCTGGTCCCAAGATACTCATGACGGTCATTTGGTTTTGTTAAGAGAATAACATTGATCACTTATAAGCATACGTTTCTAACTCTGACTGATCATCTCACAAATGCATGCTTCTGAACAAGGTGAAAATCTAAAGAAGAGACCTTGAAGGGTTCAGAAGAGTCACCACCATTCCTGGAAACACTTAAAACTCATGTTTTACTAATATTAAGTCAGTAGCACCACAGTTCTATATGAAAGTCTGCTTTTACTTTCAGCAATACAACATGTTGTTTACTTAAGCAAAAGAGTAAACTTATTTATTACTCATGTAAAAACAAAACAAAAAGAAACAAGAAAACTCAATTTATTTCTTCAAGATTAAAGATCTAAAGGCTATCCCAGACCCTCAACAGTTCCATGGAAGATCCAACTGTGCATCATTTGATGAAAAGCATTCTTGAAGATTTATCTGCCAGATACAGACTCTGAAAGAGAATTTTAACTCCTCTAAGACAACCATGTACTGATTATCAACCTCCAATCCTTCAAATAGCATTTAAAGAAGTCTACTTCTAACATTCTGGATCCCCTAAGTACTAATTTCTGTATTAACACTGAACTATTTTTGATCTAAGGGAGTAAAATACAAAATATTCCCTGGATCTGCTGTACACAAGCTATAAGAAACAAATAATTTTAAAGTAGACTTAAGAGTTCAAAAGTGACAAACTCCATAAGTGATACCTATTCCAAGTCTATCAAAATGTATATATAAACTAGTTTTGAGCACTGGCACACACAACTGCATCCTTTAAGAGGTAAAGGATGAAATCCAGATATTCTACTTTGGATTCTTGGAACACACTTTAACTGTTCCAGGTTGGCCCCTATAAATCATTTAACCCTTTATTTTTTCCAAAAGTTAAAATCTCATAGTTTGGTCTGAAAAGAAACAGCACTTCAAGCAGACTTTTTAACAAAGATTAATTTTCATGTGAGAAACAAAATGTTTAAACTGCAAAATGATTAACTATGTAATGTTAACTGAAAAAACTGTATCCAATACCACTTAACAACCATTTCTCTTGCCCACATAGTTCCTCTGACTAATCCTAGAATGCCTTTCCATCCTGTTTTTCAGCCTATGGCTTCCCCTCTGTGTATAAAGTTATTTTTCTTTGTAAAGGTCCCATGATTTCTAAGTCTATGTTTTATATCATGTTTACTTTTACTATAAAGGCTGCTGGGGGAGAAAAGTACCCGCCATCTCCTCAAAAACATGAAGAAGAGTGGAGGGCTGAGATCGGCCTGAGGACTTCAAAAGGTTTTGCTTGCCTTTGTTCTGGCTACACTTTCTCCTATTATACTACTCTGTCCTGTGGGTTAAAGTTCCCCTGCGCTTCTGGCTAAAATGTGGGTACTACAGCCAAAAACACTTGCAAGCATCAAACCCTGACTTGGCGGCTCTTGCTAAGTGGCAAGCATCTAATGCCACCCTCACCTGATGCTTGGCCGTCTCCATACCCTCCAGAACTGTCGTCTTGAAGTCCTCCTGCTTGCCCTGTGGAAGGAAAGAGGAGAACTCAGGGACCTTACTCCATAAATTGAGATAATATCTGGACATAAAGGCCTAATAGTTGGCGACTCACGAATTCACCACCAACTAGTAAACGCATATTCAGAGAGCTCCTTCTTCTGGAATCAAGGCCCAGGGAGTCACATTATAGTCTTCCAAATTCTGGTCAGGAAACTTCAACTTTACATGCTGATTCTTGTTGAAAGGTAGGAGAACAAAGTACGCAGTATTTCTAATTGCTAAATCCTTGCTGTCAGTCTTAATAGTCAAAGTTGGATGGGGGAAAAGGGATTCCAAATGTCTTTTACTACTTGTTGCTAGACTGAGAGCGGGTGTGACATGGGCTCTAGGATCTGGAGTTGCAACAATTCAGCATCTGCTCAATGTCTCTTAAACTTTACCTTTCTATCTAAAAAGAATATATATAAGACAACAAGCAAGACATAATTTTAATGAAATATTCTCCCCTTGACTTCAAAGAAGGGATGATAACTAAGAGATTCAGTTCCAAAAGAAGTTTCATTCACTATACATACTAGACAGTGCCAGATCTGAACATGCCAGTGCTTCCTCAGTAACACTTTAATTAAAACACCATAAAACACCTCACAGTCATATGCCAAGTACTGTAGATAGACATAACACAAGGGGGAAGGCTGGAGCAGGCAAGATGGTGGAGGAGCTTCTACCTCAAGCTTCACAATAAGCCTGCTAAGAAATTTTCCTCATTGATTAATGTACAGAAATAACTTTTAAGAAAAGTATCACAGCTTGAAAGTTAAACCTGAGAAAGTCAGGACAGATCATCTTCCAGACTCTTCCAAAACTCAATCACCAAGACAGATGCAATGATCCTCTTAAGCCTCTCGCCACCTGATATACTATGGGAAACTACTACCAGTGTGATCTTTGGAAGATATGAAACACCATCCCCCAAAGATCTAAAACTGGACACTCTTCATTAAACAGTTTATTCTAAAAGAATATCAACTAGAAAGCAAACTGATTATTCTACCATTTGAGTTAAAAGGCAGCAGGAAAGTAAAACTAACATAGCCCCCTTACTGTAAGAATGATCCCAGGTCTGTGAGACTTAAAATGACATTTTCATCTTTAAGTATATGAAGGTATTCATATATAAATGATTTCTGACAATATTATAATGTGTTGCTAGATGGTATATGGTCTGCTTTGAAAGTAGAATAGAATCCCATCCTAAAATTATTTCACATTGCTCTTGTATAAACGGTACTTTAGGTTCTAGAAGGTTATGCTTCTCAGACAAGGTACAAGGTATATGATTTGTTGTTTACAGCCTTTGGAAAGGGCATATAATTATGAAGAGATAACTCCAATTATGAAATCCAATCTGTAAACTTATCTTAAAAATGCAGGCTGTACATTTAAAATTTTACTTTTAAAGTTTAAATTAAAAAATGTTCATTCTTAATGAACTTATGGATTTATTCATTTAAAAGTCTTTCAGAGTTAAAAAGTTTCAGAGTTAAAATTGTTGTCATTATTTTCTTTGGTTCCAAATAGCACCAAACTAGACCAGAAGATTAAGCTATTGTTTTAGAAGGGGGGAAAGGGGCTGAAAACAATGAAAGAGTTTCCAAGAAGAACATTTAGGCATTAGGAATAATATAGCTCTTCTTTCTCAAAATTATGTTTCTGGCTTCTTTAAGAAAAAATGAAAACAACAGTCTCTTCTAATGATGGCATCTCACCACTTCTCAATAAGTAAAAACAAAACCAAAAAAAACTTTCAAGCTTGCCATTAAGACTGAATTATTTTACCCTTTCTATTTCTATCATTTTCCTTCTCCCACTACATGTCATACAATATGCTATTTACTGTACTGATTTTTTTCCCCTGTCAATGTTTTTTCTTAATAGAAATATGGATTTCTTACCCCTTAGTGCTCAAAAGGTCAACAAGGCCGCTCTTTTACAACAAGGTAAAGCAGTCTTTTTTGCTGTCTGTTTTTGAAAAGAGGTACTAACAAAATTCTTATAAAGACACTGTCCTTTGATAAAAATATGTAGGAGAAACATGGAAAATATTCAATACTCTGGAAAAATTTTTAAAAGGTATCTCTCATAGCAACAGAAAGTCAAAAAAGAAATGAAACTCTAAAATACTACTTAAGCAGAGAAACAGGAGAAAACCAAGCAGAAGATGATATAAACATGAAAGAAATGACGGAAAACAAAAAGTGCTTAAAATTAACTAAATGAACAATATATTTGTCTCTTGAATTGATGAATATTTATAACCTGCTTGAAAGTAAAGTTGCTATTTTCTCTCTAATCACAATATACTCATGAGTATCTTGAGGGTGCCTACTTCTCCAAAGACAGCAGAAAACAGCACCATTTTTATTAGTGGTATTCTAAACCAATTCTTCCTCTTTTTTTTTTTTTGCTTTACCAGCTCTCAGATCTTTTGCCAGCATGCTATAATGTTTAAAGCACAGAATCATGCAATACAATTGGCATAAGAAACAGTCTTATAATTACATATTAATTTCCTTTATTCTTTAACAGAATATTCATTTTATTAAGAACAGCATACACACAAATGTTTGCAGCTAACTTTCCATCCAGGTAGTGTCTCTGATTAGAACATATAAAATGCCATATTCATTTGCTCTTCGGGTCTTTCGGGCCTAGAACTCTGCTTCTGACAGTGGCACAAGGACATGGAACAGCAAGCAAATGTGGTTGTTATCTTCCATGAGCTCAAATTCAAAACAGAAGATGAAAATATACACAAGCAACTTTTTAATATCACCTTGATTTTGGCACTACTGAGAGAGCAGACTTCCTTTTGTTTTCACACACCGCCGCCGACAACACACACACACAAAATCCTCAAGTTTGAAGTAGAGACCCTAATACAGTTTATTTGTGCATATCTTCTCCAAGTTGAAAATAAAGTCTTTTCAGTTTATCTTACATAGCAGCCTTTCAGTTGTCCTCTAATAAAATCTACAGATCTGTTAAGTTATTCTTGAAGAACAGTTAAGTATTTTAGTTATAGTCACACTACTGAATTGTTTTTTCATCTTGATTTAAACTCTCAAGAGACCACGCTTTCAACATCTTAAGAGGAAGCCTATTACGTTCAAATACTTTTATCTGGCAGGCATGGAGGCGAGAATCACTGGTGTGTTGTTCCCAGGAACATACTGAACAACATATTCATCACATTTTGACTATTTAGTTTCTTGGAATCACATTAACTGATAACTTTGTAAACATTTTGAGGAATTACTAAATCTTCTAGGAAGCAATGATCTTTAAACAGAAAATCAATTCATCAAAACTTATTTAATCAAATTTAAATTTTACCAAATTTACAGAATAAAAATAACTGCCAAGGATTGACTTCAATCGAACCTAACAAACTAGCAAAGGAAAAAAACATCTCAAAAGTTAAAACCATCTTTGAACACACAAGTTCGCACTATATTAACACACTAGTTGAGTTTCTTACTTAATAAGCTCACAAATTTAATGTTTACTGAATACCCATCCAAGCTGCCAAGCACAAAATCAAAAGTAGAAAAGGCTGAGTCCCTATTTTCAAAGGGCTCATAATCTAATTGGGGAAAGATGAAAAATATCCAGAAAGAAACTTTTTTTTTTTTTTAAAGGAAACAAGAAACACACACTTGGGGGAATCAGGGAAGCTTTTCCGAACAAATCCAGAAATTTGGATAGACTGGGGTGGGGGGTGCGGGGTACGGTGATACCACAGCATGATCCAGAACATTTACAAATGCAAGGAGAAAACCACAGACATGGTATGTACGAAAAGTTGCACACAGCACCCTGCTTAATGAAGGAGATGATCTCAAAGAGCAGTGGGAGACACAAAGGATAAACAAAAATGGGCCACTTTCAGGGCCAAAACTTAAACTTGATCTTAATAGTAATGCAGGAGAATAGTATTTTCACCAGGAAAGCAACAAAACAAGTGATACTTTAATCAGTTTGTACTAGATGGATTAGAGGAGAAAGGTGATCTAGATAAAGGAGATCCAGTCAAAAGACCACTGAAATAATTTAGATGTGAAGTGAAATCCAGCAGAATAAAAAGGTGACAGTAGGGCTTCCCTGGTGGCACAGTGGTTGATAGTCCGCCTGCCGATGCAGGGGACATGGGTTTGTGCCGCGGTCCGGGAAGATCCCACATGCCATGGAGCGGCTGGGCCCGTGACCCATGTCTGCTGAGCCTGCACCTCCGGAGCCTGTGCTCAGCAACAGGAGAGGCCACAGCAGTGAGAGGCCCGCATACCAAAAAAAAAAAACAAAAAAAAGTTAAAAAGGTGACAGTAAAAATGGACAAGGTGAAGAGGCTGTGCACAGGAAGACACATGACTTTACAAGAGACTTGATGAAAGAGATAAGGGGCTTTCAAGACTCCAAGCTTCCAAAGTTCAGGAGAATAGTAATACAATGGAAAAAATGGGAAATCTGGGAGACAGGTTAGTAAAATTAAATGGAAATACTCTAAAGATGGTTGGAAATTAAAGACTACAACTCACAAGTGAGAATGGGTATAAGAAATTTTAAATCAACATGGAGGTAAAAAGTCTTGAAGCAGCTGTATGATTAATCTCGTAAGGAAAGTCACAGTTTCAAAGAGGAATTGGTCAACATAAATGATAAAAAAAGTAAAAAAGAAAAAAATTGAGAAAAATGAATTATTGGTGACCATCACCAAGTCGTGCTGCCTTCCTGTCCCTGCTGTAGTGAGAGGTGGCTTAAAAACACCTTCAAGTATACCACTCTTGTTTGATACATCTCTTTCCTGCTAACTTTTTGACTATGATTTTTGGCAGAAGAATAAATGATCTACAGCAGCTCAAAGAAACGCAAAGCAAAGTAAACTGGGCTCAGAGAGGTAGACTAAACTATCCTGAAGGAAGAGCCTCGGGATTTCCTCTGAAGCACATTAGAGGCATTTTAAAACA